GCTGAGGAAGCGTTGTTCTAAGTCAGCCATAAAAATGTTGGCATATTGAGGGGCCATGCGGGTACCCATAGCAGTGCCGCTGACTTGAAGGTATACATTGTCCCCAAATGTGAAATAGTTGTGGGTGAGGACAAAGTCACAAAGTTCAGTCACCAGGTTTGCCGTGACTTTATCGGGGATACTGTTCCTGATGGCTTGTAGTCCATTTTTGTGTTGAATGTTGGTGTAGAGAGCTTCTACATCCATAGTGGCCAGGATGGTGTTTTCTGGAAGATCACTGATGGATTGTAGTTTCCTCAGGAAGTCAGTGGTGTCTTGAAGATAGCTAGGAGTGCTGGTAGCGTAGGGCCTGAGGAGAGAGTCTACATAGCCAGACAATCCTGCTGTCAGGATGCCAATGCCTGAGATGATGGGGCGTCCAGGATTTCCAGGTTTACGGATCTTGGGTAGCAGATAGAATACCCTTGGTCGGAGTTCTAGGGGTGTGTTTGTGCAGATTTGTTCTTGTGCTTTTTCAGGGAGTTTCTTGAGCAGATGATGTAGTTTCTTTTGCAGCTCTGTGACCTTTTGGGACCACAGAGTGTAACTCATCAGTGTACATATGTTTGCTTGTTTTAACCCTCTCATTTCTTTTCTTAGTTAGTAAGCCCTTAAATAGCTTATGATAGGATTGGCTACAAGTGTTGTCTTTGGTATGAAATGGGAGGTACAAATTGACCTGGGGTAAGTGACTGAGTATTTTGTGAACTTTGGTGTATAGCACCAACTATCACTAAGTCCAACTTGCCTGAGTGGCAAGATAGACTGGATCGCCCAAGGGGACAGGTAAGACTGTAATAGTACTTTAGGAGGTCACACTTGTTACTGGGTTGGTGAAATCTAATTATAGAACACAAAACCAGTTTGGGGTGTCTGCCCTGCTTCTTGACAGGTTGGCACTCACAGTGGTGAGCCATTCCCAACAGCGTGACAGGGTCATAGCATGGAGGGGCTGAGTGGACCATTAAGAGGGTTGGGAGAAAATCATACAAAATGGAAGGGGCAAAAATACCTTGTGCTCAGTTGTCTTCCCACCCGTATCTTTTGTCTGTGTGGTGCGATGTTGTTACACTTGTGAGCGCCCTAGGAACAGGGGCCCTGACATACTATAGATCTGTAAAGTGCCTAGCACACTGAGAGCACTAAATTAAAACTAGGGCTGGTCAGACATTTTCCATCCAAACCGCTTTGAGATGGAAAATTGGGTCTTCAACAAAATGATTTTTTTTTCATAAAAAGTGTCCACTTCAGTGGAAAATTTTGACTTTTTTCTAAAAAACCAAACATACAGAAACTGAAAAGTTAATGTCTGAAATGTTGCCACAATGCTTCATGGGAGTTGTAGTCCAGGTGCTTCATACCCCCATTCTGCCCTATAAGCCATGCTCCCTAGTTGGACTTCATGTCCCATGATGCATTGCACCCATGGGACTCCCATGATGCACTGCAGTCACTCAGCAAGAGGGGAGTCAATCTCTGACAAAAACTACATATAAGAACAATTCTGCCTTAATTTCAGGAGATGGTGTAAATATTGCACCATTCACTGTTAACTGCTATTTCCTGTGACAGTTTAGAGGATCCATTTGGAGATGCAGCTAAAATTGTGGTTGCTTCTTCAAAGCAGATCTAAATTCCTTTGCTGTGGAGATCCAGTCGGACATTTCAGGAGGTCTCCCATAAACTTTTCCAGGGTTTCCTGATTTTATCCTGGGTCAGACACATAACAAATCAGCCTCACTCCTGCTGTTTCTTCCCTTCTGGTCATAAAACCAAGAAATGCAAAGAAACTAGCCACACCACATGCCACACAAATCAGCTAAGAGGACATACTAAAACAAGATGCCATGGCTTAAGAGATGGCTCAGAGAACATGCTGTGATGGGTGCTGGAGAATGTGCCACAGAACATAGAGAACGTACCAAGCCATGCCAAACTAAGGGAATTCTCCACTCTCTAGAATTAATTAAAAACTCCTTGGACTCTTCAGAAGATATTCTGAATGCAAGGGACCATGTCCAGAAAGTCCAGTTCACTCAGCATCACTAAGAACACCCACAAGCAAACAGCAGAACTATCCTACAGCTCTATGAGAAACTCAGAAACTACACCAGCCTTATGGATTCGATCGCATGTGGAACAGGCCTTTATGCAAGATGTAGCATTGAGCAAGTGATGGACAAATGGGCAGTTTCCTTTAGGTGGGGAAAAGCTGATGATATTCGCCATGATTTTATCGTGACTCTCACAATATTTGATGTTTTACTTCAAGCCTCAGCTCCTGCAGACACTCACAGGAGAATCTAGCCCTCATGGCTGCAGAGAAAAGCTTGAAAATGTGACATAAATGCACCCCAAAATGCTCAAAAACCAGAAGGCAAAGAAAAAGACCCCAGATTTATTATATTTTTTAAAATCTCATGATTTTTTTCAGTCCTGACTCACGTTTTTTGAAAGTCTAGCAACTTAGGACTTCAAATATTTTCAGGCTGTCTAGGGGCCTGCTTGGACTTTGGCATAAGTTAGAGCCTCAAAACATCTCTATCTCATGTTCTGGCTAAAATGGCTGAGAAAAATTGGGAGTGCGGCACACAGCACACACCCCATGCCAGGAGTGGGACTTGGGAGGGAGTCAGGAAAACGGTTTTGGGTTTTTGTTGCATTCTGCAGTGTTCTGCAAAAGAGTCTTGATAATATAAATAGCCAAGGCCCTGCCCTGTACGTCAGAATACTCTGCAGCCAAACAAAGGAGAAAATTGATAACATTTATTTATTTCCAGTTGTGCCCACAATATGCTTTCTAATCCGAAAAGAAGGTAGATCCCTGCTCGAGTTCGCTATCTAACGACAAACAGACACAGTCACGGGAAGGAGGACGACGTTAAGATATGTCCAAGACAAGGTCATGAGAAGCATTAGCTAGAGTGTTTCGGTGGTGTGAAGTGTGTGGGAACCATTTTGTGGGAGAGACGCTCGAGACAACAGTTAGTTAGCGTGTTTATTGAGTTTAGAGTTGAAGAGAATTACAGGGATGGGGCAGTAGTCGAAGAGTTCAAGCTGACAGCAGAGCAGAGACTCTTTGAGAATAGGGAATCTGGAGAATGCTTGTATTGCAAAGGAAAGGAGCCAGAGGTCAGCATAAAAGATCTGGAACCAGCAGAAATGGGAGAGGAGAAGTCCAATGTCTCACCTGCTCCCTTGGGAATGATTGGAGGTGTGAGATGTGTAATAATGAAAAAACACCATGATGGTGCACAGCTGACAGGGCTGTGTCAGCCAGGGGGGTGCCATGTTTCTGTGAGTGCCAGGCCATGGGGAAGGAGTTGAAAGTGCTGTGAGGGTGGTGGTTCTTGTCAAGATAGCATGGGCAGAGCAGGGGTAGCAGGAAAAGCAGAATGGTCCTGACTCATGATCTTTGAAAGTCTTCGCCTGCAATACTGGAGAATGGAGGAGTTACCCAGCCTGCACCTTCTCCATGGTGGGATGGGATGTTATGTGGGGGGCAGAAGTTCTATTCTAGAGGTGCCATATGATAATCTAGAGCCGATGAAAAGCATTATGTGCTGGCACAGATGGATGTTTATAGTTAAATTAGCTCGTTCAGTGAGCCCATCACTGTTAATGGCGTTACATGGATGGATGGTTGAGTGAGGGAGAGGTGAAGCCTTGGAGAGGCAGACAGACCTACAAGGGCTCATCCAAACCTAGAGCGAGTTGAAAAAATGTCGACGTAACAGCTTTCCACTGAAAAATGCAGTTTTGTCAAAATTCTAATGTGTTGCGGGAATGTGCTGGTTTTAACAAAAAATTTTGATGTGAAAAAGTCAATATTTTGTTTCAAAGGTGTCCTATTTATTTATTTCATTTAGATGATTTATACAATAGTAAAATAATTGTAATATTATATTTATATATATTTAATGTTGTGTCTATATAATCTAAATCAAAATGAAATGAAAAGTTTCAACACCATTGAAATGGAATGTTTTGGTGGTCCTGAATCAAATTGTTTTTGCAATTTTTGGTTCATGGAAAAATTTCAAGTTTTGGCTTTTTGTTCTGATCCAGAACAACATTTTTGGTAAATGTCTTGATTTCCTGCAGAAGGGAAATTCCAGTTTGTGACCAGCTCTTTCCAAAGCCTTGTCGTTACTCAGACTCTTACCCCCTCCATGGCATCAGCTCCTGCCCCCGCTCACGTTTTTGAGGAATCCCCAATCCAATGGGCAGCTTCAAGACAAACTTGTAGGAGCTCAGTGGTGAGATGCTTGAAGCAGGCTCAGAACATGTGGTGGGGGAGCTCCCAGCAGCTAGATTTCCAATGCCAGGCACTGATTCAGTGAGAGCCCCTGAAGATTATGTGGAGTGACCTAGAGCAAATCCCTATCAACTTTGCCTGCTCCAGAAGGTGGAAATGTGGCAGAAAAGGCACAAATCAGATTCTGCCATTTAGAGATGGGGCCACGGTGCAAACTTTGGATTTGGACCCGGGTTTGGATTCTGGATGTCCCAAAGCTCAGTGGTTTTGGGAGCAGGGCCGGCTCTAGGCACCAGGAAACCAAGCACGTGCTTGGGGCAGCACAATTTCAGGGGCGGCATTCCGGCCACCTTTTTTTTGCTTTGGCAGTTGCGCTCCCAGAGGTTTTTTTTTGCTTGGGGCAGCAAAAAACCTAGAGCCGGCCCTGTTTGGGAGCTGGGATTTTGGGTTAATCCACAGCAAAGAGCCATTGGCAGGATTTGGCTCCATTCTGGGTTTGGGGGAGAGCTGGACGAATAATGAATTTTTTGGGTCGCTGGCAATTCACAAAAGTAATTTTTTTTAAAGTTTCATTTCAGGCTGTTCCATCTTTTACAGATAAACAGTTACCGGGGCTTGGCAGCCCCTGGCCTGAGCAGTTTGGGTAGGACCCACCTCTCTGAGAAGGGCCTTTCTCAGCAGGGCCTGGCTCCTACTTTCCTACCTTTTTATCATTGTAGAAGGGGTCTAGGTCTTCCAAGGGCACCCCGATGAGTGCTGGAGGCAGGTCCCCGTAAATGCGCGGGAGGGGTTTCCCAGCTTCCAAATCGCTGCTGGCCTTCAGCTCTTCTTCCTCATGCACTTCCACATGCTGCCGTTTGATCTTGAGTGCTTCCGCCTCAGCAATCCGCTGTTCTATGGCAGCGAGGGACTCGCGGGTGAATGGGCGGAGATTATCAGGACCGGGTACATGTGGCGGGATTGCCATCTTCTCATTCTGCTCTCAGAAACCCTCTGCCTGGCCTCTTGGGAAGGGAAAAACCTGAAATGACAGAAAGGAACAGGTCTGTTTCACACCACATCAATTTCACATGCAGCTGAGTTTCCTCCTTCTGGGATGTGATCCACATTGTGATGTTCTTGTTTCCTTGAGGCGAGCGACTGCCGCTGAGTGCTGAATTCGAATCCTACCAGAACGTGTAACTGACAGCAGAATCCAGCTGCTAATTCTGCACTATCATAGAGCTATGGTCAGTAACATGATGTACCATGCACTCTTACATCTGCATAACTGGTTAGTGTATGTTCTGTGTCCCTCTCTGTGTCCAATCCACAGAGGATATGAGTCTGTTACCACTCCAATTAGTGAGCATGGCTTTTTTGCTCCACCTGTAGCACCTCAGGCTTTTAGTTCTAGAGATCCCCAGTTCAACCAGGGTCTGTCAGCCTAGCTGGCAACCATCACACATGCATTTCCTCAAGGTGCTCTAGGAGTTGATCTGCTAATGATCTCTGGCATCAGCTGGGACATTTATAAATAAATCTTTAAAACTGAGATCCATATGTTAAATAAACCACTCCCAACATCTGTCCCTGCCTCGTCCCCTCCCCTCACTCGATACACTGCCAGCTGCATGACCCGTGGACTTAGCTTTCAGTCCTTGTGGCACTGTTCAGATCCAAGTTATTGTTGTTTATATATTAGGGAACTAGACCCCAATCAAGGATCAGCACCCCACGATACCAGGCGCTGCACAGACACGTAACAAAGACAGACCCTGCTTCAGGCTGGATCCCACAGGCACATAGGTGGAGACACACAGATTCATAGATCCCAAAGCCGGAAAGGAGCACTGTGACCATCTTGTCTGACTTCCTGTATAACACAGGCCTCAGAACTTCGCCAGAATAATTCCCAGAGCAGATCTTTCAGAAAAACATCTAGTCTTGACTTTAAAATTGCCAGTGACGGCGAATCCACCACACCCCTTGGGAAATTGTTCCAATGGTTAATTACCCTCCCTGTTAAACATTTTTACACCCTGGAAAAATCATGGAGCAGGTCCTCAAGGAATCAATTATGAAACACTTAGAGGAGAGGAAAGTGATCAGGAACAGTCAGCATGGATTCACCAAGGGGAAGTCGTGCCTGACTAATCTAATTGCCTTCTATGATGAGATAACTGGCTCTGTGGATGAGGGGAAAGCAGTGGATGTGTTATTCCTTGACTTTAGCAAAGCTTTTGATACGGTCTCCCACAGTATTCTTGCCGCCAAGTTAAAGAAGTATGGGCTGGATGAATGGACTGTAAGGTGAATAGAAAGCTGGCTAGATCGTCGGGCTCAACGGGTAGTGATCAATGGCTCCATGTCTAGTTGGCAGCCGGTTTCGAGCGGAGTGCCCCAGGGGTCGGTCCTGGGGCCGGTTTTGTTTAATGTCTTTATTAATGATCTGGAGGATGGTGTGGACTGCACTCTCAGCAAGTTTGCAGATGACACTAAACTGGGAGGCGTGGTAGATACACTAGAGGGTAGGGATTGGATACAGAGGGACCTAGACAAATTAGAGGATTGGGCCAAAAAAAACCTGATGAGATTCAACAAGGACAAGTGCAGAGTCCTGCACTTAGGACGGAAGAATCCCATGCACAGCTACAGACTAGGGACCGAATGGCTAGGTAGCAGTTCTGCAGAAAAGGACCTAGGGGTCACAGTGGACGATAAGCTGGATATGAGTCAACAGTGTGCTCTTGTTGCCAAGAAGGCTAATGGCATTTTGGGCTGTATAAGTAGGGGCATTGCCAGCAGATCGGGGGACGTGATCATTCCCCTCTATTCGACATTGGTGAGGCCTCATCTGGAGTACTGTGTCCAGTTTTGGGCCCCACACTACAAGAAGGATGTGGAAAAATTGGAAAGAGTCCAGCGGAGGGCAACAAAAATGATTAGGGGTCTGGAGCACATGACTTATGAGGAGAGGCTGAGGGAACTGGGATTGTTTAGTCTCCAGAAGAGAAGAATGAGGGGGGATTTGATAGCTGCTTTCAACTACCTGAGGTGGGGTTCCAAAGAGGATGGAGCTCAGCTGTTCTCAGTGGTGGCAGATGACAGAACAAGGAGCAATGGTCTCAAGTTGCAGTGGGGGAGGTCTAGGTTGGATATTAGGAAACACTATTTCACTAGGACGGTGGTGAAGCACTGGAATGCGTTACCTAGGGAGGTGGTGGAATCTCCGTCCTTAGAGGTTTTTAAGGCCCGGCTTGACAAAGCCCTGGCTGGGATGATTTAGTTCGGAATTGGTCCTGCTTTGAGCAGGGGGTTGGACTAGATGACCTCCTGAGGTCCCTTCCAACCCTGATATTCTATGATTCTATGATTCTATTTCCAGTCTGAATCTGTGTAGCTTCAACTTCCAGCCATTGGATTGTGTTAGACCTTCCTCTGCTACATTGAAGAGTCCCTTATTAAACATTTGTTCCCCATGTAGATATTTACAAACTGTAATCAAGTCACCCGGTAGCCTGCTCTTGGTTAAGCTAAATAGATTGAGTTCTTCGGGTAAAGAAAAGACCTGCGGCATGGCTGCGGCTGGCCTGAGTCAGTTAGTATGCAGTGTAGGTATGCAGGCTCGGGCTGGAGCCCTGGCACTGGGCCCCTCCTCCCTTGTGGGGTCTCAAAGTTCAGGCTCTGGTCCAAGCCCAAACATCTACACCATAATTAAACAGCCCCATAGCCTGAGCCCTGTGAGTCCAAGTCAGCTGACCCAGGCCAGCCGCAGGTGTTTAATTGCTGTGTAGATGTACCCCTTGAGTCTGTTACTACAAGGCAGATTTTCTAATCCCTCAATCATTCTCGTGGCTCTTCTCTGAACCCCTTCCAACTGATCAACATCCCTCTTGAATTGTGAGTTACAATGTAATCAAGATGATGAGTTAACGATGAAATGAACAGGCTTTAGCATGAGAGCAGAAGTCCCAGCTGGTCAATGAACGAACGTGGCCAGAAAGATCTTGTTTGAGATCATCAAGCTAAAGATCTATGGTGTTTGTTTTATGGCACCCTGCCCGTCCTGTGCTTTCTGCACACACGGTTAGAAATAAATGACAACAATTAGCAGCAATATCCCCCTTTATCAAACACTTCCAAATCTCTGCATCGCTGTACGGTCCAGACCTGCCCAACTAGCCACTTCCCCACTCCTTCTGGGAGGCTGGGATCTGCAACACGCAAATCAAAGGTCAACGGGTTCAGGCTCTGATGACCAATGAGAAAAGACCAGTCAAGGGGCCCACATACATCCTCCTTCCAGCCCCTTCACACTATTACCTCGTGCGTGTCTGCCACTATCACTGGGCCCCGAATCATTTATTTTGACTGCCTTCCCTTCAGTCACCTGTTCTATATTATTCGATTAAAAAAGCTGAGCAAGTTCTCCTGACGTGATGTCTTCTTTACAAGCCCTCAGTGCTGCTTCCATCAGCCTCTTGGTGTTTGCAGCCCCCCGCCCCACCCAGGGCCGGCTCCAGGGTTTTGGCCGCC